ATTACATAATTACTTAGTAGTTTAATAAAAGTTGTCATATATTTTTTTGAGATTTTGTGTTGTAACCTAGTTACCTTTAATTTGTACACCATCATTAGTTAGGTCTCTTCTTATTGTTTCACTTTAACAACTTATTAATTAAAAAAAATGAAAAGATAAAAAAGAAGAATACTTCCCATCTTGAATAACACAATTACACCTAAGCGTTTCATCATTAAGAATTATAGTGAATGGATTGGGATCCTTTTAAATTAATCAGATTTTTTGAGTTCGAACTTTATTAATAATCTTTTTAATAAGAAGCATGGATTTCAGATAAAACAAATTCAAATTAATCGAATTATGAAGTAAATATCAGATATCGAATAAAAAAAACTACAAGAAAATATATAAATATAGATTTTCCATAATGTAAAACCTTAAATTTCTATTCAATCCACTATAATTCAACAAACTAAAATATTAGTGGGGGTATACTTTTTCCTTGTTGGATTGAGAGGGATGTGATACTATGAACTATAATATATAGTCTTGCATTGTAAGTCTAGTGGGTATCTATTACTCTCATTAAACACTAACTACTACTTTTATTATGTGGAAATATATTGATAGTACATAAAGAGAAACCAACATGATCTAGCTACTTATATTTTATTAAATAAATAAAAAAGAACACTTGAGAATTCACGGCCGCAAGGGCACTATAATAATGTACTTTTTTCCCATAGAAATAGCACACGATTTGGAAAAATAGATAATGGCTATGATGAAAGTGACAAACATAAAGTAACTCACCACCTTACTTTATTATTGTACTACTATACTTTTTAAATAATTTAATCCACAATTTCTAAAGCTTTTAACCTAGCTACAAGCACTTTTACTTATAATGAGTAAATGGTGCAGCCATTATTGACTACCAACATATCAATGGAAATCTTTGAGAGCAACAAGCACTTAGGATCCTCATTTTGGTCATTGGACACACTCAATCAAAAGCTTGAAAATAAATAAATACCTATCATGCTTACTTATATTATAGAGGAAAAACTTATATGATAGATGGGCTATTCATCTTATTATTATAAATGCAATAAATAGGATTGCTAACACTACTAGAAAATGGTGAATTACATGAGGATTTTCCTGGAGATTAATATGAAAATTTGCAGGAAAATAAGTTACCTGCGGATTTTCATACTAATCCCTAGGAGAATCCTCATGGAATTCACATTTTTCCTGTAGTGTATAAGGTAATAAATTCGAATAAAATTCATAAATAGTTATTCTTTTAGTTTGTATAATTGAAAAATGATTATTATTATAAATGGAGAAATTATTTCTTATAATAATTTATTTTTTTTGTGAGTTGTTGTTTGTCATGACTCATGAGTAGTTCAAAATTTTGGGGTGTGGGGTAGAAGTGGAGGTAGGGGTGGGGATGGGAAAACCGTGAAAATTAGGAAATAGGTTGAGAGGGAGCCATCTATTTGTACTTCTCGACAAATATCATCTGTTTTATTATTTTCAAGCGGGTATTCAAATTGAAACTATGAACATGATCAATAAACAATCTTTCTCAAATGTCATTTTCATAATTAATGAAATTAAAGCAAAACCAATTGCCTCTCAAAATTTCCAACTTATCATCCTAATACAGCCCTCCTTCACATCACTTTCACAAATAAATTGGCACAAATTATGGATAATCTTGACAATTTAATAATATAAGCATATGTTTCTAGTACTTGTTTTTTTTTTCTTCACAAAAATAATTAAAATAGTTGGGAGAAGCTATCTTATGTCGTAATGCTGATTAAAGAATATTTTGAAGTTTATTATCGAAAACCAATAATTGATTTTGTGATACCTCACATTTATTTGTTGGAAATGAAAACAATAAATGAGTTATATATTTTCAGTAACAAAATCATATAAATGGTCTCTATGATTTTTCTGTAATACCTGATCAGAGATGTAATTCAAAAGCCAATAAAGCTTAAATTCTTAGAAACTTACAGTAATTAAGGGAAAATTACCGATATATATATATATATATATTCTTTGATCAACTAGTTTATCAATATGATCGAACTACATGTAACATATATATTATCAATGTATATTATATGTATACTTAATATAAAGTATATATTATCTTTACATGTTATATATATTTTGTAAATTAGATAGTCGAACATAATCATCCCAATTCCCAAGTATGTACTTATCGTCAAACAAGTGTGTTTAGGTATTGCATTTGAAAGTTATTCACATTTAAGATTTACAAAACTTCTAAATTTCGACAAATTAGAATTGTTACTTTTATGGAAAAATTACAGAAATCCCATCTTTTAGTTTACTTATTACCATTATCTCCTATAAGTTTTACAAATCTCCAAAATCCCTCATTTTGACGCATCAGATTAGTGTATCTCCCGCATCATATTAGTGTATCATGTATAAAATGTACATCAAATTAGTGTATCATGTATAAAATGTAATGTATCTTACTTAACGATTAATGTATCTCGCGAATCAGATTAATGTATCAGAGGTTATATTATTGTATCTGTTTGAGAAATTTCTGTAATTATAAACTTTTAAAGGATAGATTGTAATTTTACCTTGAAAGTATGTGATTTATGTAATTTGCCCTTGTTTTATTAGGCTTGATACTTACTAATTAGGTGATTATGTGTGCACATATAATAGTGCTTAATTAATTAATTAGTCAAAGAAATAAGGCTATCAATACCATCTTACCCCACCACTCAACTCTCCCATAATGTATAGAACACGTTAATCTATCTCATAATACATTTTAATAATTGATAAATATTTATTTGTAATGATTTCATTGAACGACGATATAAAACCAAAAAATAATTAGTCATTCATGTTTCACCTAAAATCAGTCTCGATCGATTACACATTTGACACCATTGATAACAACATCCTCCAACGTTCATGAGTACGTTTATTTTTATAATCAAACCAATTTTACATAAAAATCCGATTAATCATAATTAATTATGATTTTCCATTCTTCAAGTAAAGTTAACCTCGAAGGTCCAAATTAATGTATCCTCTGAAAAGGGCTATTCAACAATCAAGAAAACAAAAATCACTTCCATTCTTATCCTTAAAACAATCTCAAAATATGCATCGATTTTCTATAATAAATAATTAGTCAATTTTGTCATTAGATGAATAATATACGTTACTTTGAAGTAAAACTTTAAAAAATGGACTTCGAGTTTCGAATTAATTTAATATATTAATGATAGTCCAAATATGGTCCTTCATCTCAAAAAAACGTGCTATTTATTAAAATAATCAAAACGTTAACTATTTTTTTTTTTCACTCGGTTTCCGGAGTCCACATTGAAACTCCGACTAAATTTGGATCGCGCTCTGTAGGGCCCATTCGGGGGTGACGCTCCCAACAGGATTTTCTCTATATCTAGGGATCGAATCCGAGACCTCTGGTTAAGGGTGAAACACTCTCACCAGTGCACCACAATCCATGTTGGTGTATTAGTAATATTTGATTTTGCTTTCCTTGCAAGAGAAATATTTTAAGTATTAACGTGTAAACTACCCCTTTGCTGGTACATGTACTTCTTTTATAGTGGAGTACTCAATATGTCCAGATTTATTTTATATCAACATAAATTTGACTTGTAAGTATAAGCATCAAATTCATCTTAATTAATGTCATATATACTAGTATAGGTTCAATTAACCAATTTTTACACTATTAAAAGCCTCCCACACATCCATATTGATATATTTTGGTAATGGAGATTTTTAGTAGCTTATTTAAATTTTCTCTGCTCTTATATAATAACTTGGAAATTATACCGAACAGGTAAACTGCACTAGACAAATACCGTGTGACTAGCTCGATGCAGAAGGTCACCTACTTATTGTTTTAATGTTCACCTTCATTAATTAATGAAAATAACTATCGAAAATGAATACAAACAAATTAAAACGGAGAGTAGGTAATAAACGAAAAAAAATGAATAAAATAATAAAAATTTAGAGTGATTATGTATGTTGGTGATAGAAGAGACAAAATTGTGTGTGATCAAAGGACCCACTCCGGAAGATCCGTCACTCCCCACTAAAGTTAAATTAACATTAGCAGATATTGCTTTTTCATGTGCCCCACACTTTGTTTCATCATTTAGCAATCTATATCTATCTATCTTTATTATCTTATCTGACATTTTTTTATTCTATTTAATTACTTTATTTTCATATAACTCTATCACTATAAACAAAACAAGAAAAAGTCAAATTAGAAAAATAAAGACAAAAACATGAGTGGGACCCATAATTGATGGTCATATGTTGACACAGAGCTAACAACGAGGTAATGCAGATACTGCATATATTGTTGCTTTTCGAAAGTATATATATTAAATAAAAAAATCATCATTTCATTTTAGTCACATATATAGTAATCGCTTCATCCACTTTTACTTATTCAATATTTTACTTAATTTATTTGGTGACGTATTTCTTAAAATAAAAAATATAAATTTCATATTTTTAAAATACATTAACAATAGTTTTACTAAAGTTAGTAATATATTATTTTTAAATTTTTAAAATAAAAATATATATTTAATTCTTAATATAATATTCAAGTAAAGTGGACGGTAGGAATAGTATATCTGTATCTTTATTATTCAATTGATTGAGGGTATCTTTGATTTCTGATATGTACTGTATAGACCAAGTCTCAGACTATATTACCCTTATTTAGAAGTGACACTTAAAAAGGACCAACATTGCATCTGCTCATTGTACCAAAGGCAGTACTAATTGTACATTTAAAAGGACCAACACTGCATCTGATGATTGTACTAAAGGCAGTACTAATTGTACATTTACAAATTGTACATTTAGAGGACCAACACTGCATGTTGTCATTGTACTAAACGTAGTACTAATTGTACATCAATAAAGCCCTCTCTCATTTTCCTTTCACTTTCTCTACAAGTTTCTCAAATTTCTAACCCTATTTTCTCTCCCTCGCGACTCCTCTTTCGACTTGTGAACTCTTCAATGGCGAATCGACCTCTTCTTTACTCTTTTCTGTTTCTCTACATCTCTCTGAAGCTTTGCTGTAAGAATTCTGTTTGTCTCGGACGACCTGTCGCAGGTTCTTCTTCATGGTTTAAGCGAAATTTCAATGGCGACTCCATCTCTTCTTTACTATTTGCTGTTTGTCTACAACCTTTAAATCTCTCTGAAGCTTTGCTGAAGATTTCTGTTTGTCTCCGACGACCTGCGCAGGTACTTCTTCATGGTTTAAGCGACCCTAATTTCTCTCCCTCTCAACTCTTCTTTCTACTTGTGAACTCTTCAATGGCGAATCTATCTGCTCTTTAGTGTTTTCAGTTTGTCTACAACCTTTAAATTTCTCTCTGAAGGTTTGTTGAAGATTTCTGCTTGTGTCGGACGACCTGCGCAGGTACTTCTTCATCCTTTAAGCGAAATTTCAATGGCGAATCCATCTGTTCTTTACTGTTTTGTGTTTCTCTACAGCCTTTAAATCTGTTTCTGAAGCTTTGCTGAAGATTTCTGTTTCTGTCGGACTAATGAATTTTGATTATTGTGATATTGCAACTCATCAATTAAAAAACTTCCAGAAGCTCAGATAAATAAGTATAGATTAATTAGTTTGATTAACGCATTAACCTTGTAAAAGAAATTCTTAACTTTGGTTGAAGCATCATGGAAAAACAGTAATGTACCTGAGCAAGTGTTCCAATTCATAAAGATGGTGGATAGCTATTTTGTGTTCCTACTTGTGCGTTGATAGTTGAACACCCTGCAGTCGGAAGTGACATACTATGTTAAGGATATTTGGATCAATTTGGTGCATGCAAAACGTATAACTGCTTCATGAGTAACTTCGACACATATAAGATACTATTTCTTATGATGCAAATACGCATGATTGTGTATCATGTCATCTGAGGCTCCAGTGTCTACAATCCATTTCAAGCAGGAATAGGATTACCTGCTAGATTTGCACTACTTTGAGAATCTAAAAGCTCCTTATGTCCTTGCAATATAACACGCATCTTTTGAATTTGTTCAGGTCTTCATGAAACAAGGGATAATAATATGCTATATTCTTTTCAATAATCAAAATCTAACGATGACATTTTAATAGCCATCATTATTAGACGAATTGTTCATTGAGCAGAAGAATGTTGTTATGATATATCATATAATAGTTTAAACTGCATGGTCTGCTTGATAGTGTATTTCAATAGTTTAAAACGCAGGGGAGCTGACACCTTCTCAACTCTGTGCTTTTTGGTAGATAAAGAAAGTATGTTAATTTATGTATCTAAATTGTAGGATAATTCTGCTGATATAAAGGAATCATCATTTGTCATTTAATATGGTTTTTTCCATTTTAAAATTTTTGAGCAAGGCATCCTGTAAGGGGCAGCAGTCTTCACTCAAAAGGATACAAACACTCAGTTATAAGTGAGATAAACTCCCTAAAGGTTTCCCTTGATGACCAGTTCAAGATAAAGGATTTAGGAAAACTACATTACTTCTTGGGGCTAGAAATACTCTACTATTTTTTTTGACTGCTTCAAATCTGCTTCTGGTAAGTTTCTAAGTCTTTTGTTTTAATTGCTCTGCTGTTTTTGTTCGTTGTACAACCACTGAAATGAGATTCAATCGGCGCAAAAAATATAAGGAAATGTTGCCAGCTCAAAAAGAGACATTACTATTACAAAAGCGCACAAGAGGCCTCGAGTCAAGAAGACGTCTTCTACAAGTTCCTCTCATGATAAGAGAGCCTTATGTTACGTCAACAAAAGGTTAGTAGGTTAATTTATGCTCTTTACATACCTGTAGGCTGTATGCCTCTATATGCATATGTAAATTATATACATGCATGATCTACTTTGACCTACTTCATCTTTATATATTAGCTGTTACATCTGAAGTTCATACTTCAGCTGTCGCTTCTCCAAAAGGGAAAAGTTTGTTTCATCCTTCCTGTGTCTTTGAAACAGGCGAGTATAACAATCATATTATTTTTGTTAGCTTGCGGCAGCCATAAGGCATTTACTTCTCTAATTCATAACTACTTCTATATTAGGATCCTGATGAACCTATAGTGAAGGTAAAAACACGTGTAATGAGACCTGTAGTTGCCGATCCCTTTAGGAAAGGTGTTAAACAAGGTCCTAAGGTACTCCCCTCTCTTTTTGTCCTGTTATGTTTACGTTTTTCTTTCACCACTATAAACTTTCATATTTGACATTTCTCTGTACTTCTTTTATTTCAGCACATGGCAAATCTGAAGTGTCTACTTCCACGAAAGATTTCCCAAAGTATCTATCTCCTAATTGACAAAATTTAGTAAATGATTTCGCCTGTAACTTAAAGTCTCATGTTCTGAAGCTAATATCATTACAATATACATCATAGATCGCCTCAGGACAATTTTAGAAAATTCTTAGGTGCATAGGAGAAGGCCGTGACAGCTCTGCCGCCCTTGAATGTGGTCATCATACAATTGGCTGCAAAAGCTACTTTATTCAATTCAAATGTCAAGGTATGTGCTTGATATCCTTCTTCTCGAAAGTCCTCAAATAATGTTTCTGAAAATTCCTAGAGAAAGTAATTTAACATGATCATTGACAATTGATTGAATCAGAAAGACGTGTCAATAGCACAGGATGAGATTTTTCGCCTGCTGCAGTGTGTCATCAAATTCAAGTAAGTTATCATATGAACCTTTTGTGGCAAAAGGGCTATTTCAAAATTATGCTCTCTTTTGTGGTTGACAGTTGCTATTCTTGACATAGAGTTCAGTAGTTTGCTTCCTACATAAACTTTGAGGTTCTTTCATCACTTCCAGTATGGCATGCTATTGAACCTCATAAATGTCCAACCATATATTTCTTGATAATCTTCAATCTACAATTTATCACTTCTTTTTCTTGCGGAGTACTTTTTAGGTGTCAACTGTTGCATCTGATCATACAAGGGAGGTATATAATGCAATTTTGAATCACCTGTGCTCACCCTTTACAGAGCCTTTCATCTTAGCATCTTCTGTTTATCATCATTCGAATTTAATCATCATCTTTGGTTCTCATTTTCCCCGCCTGTCGGTTATGTGTAGATACATGCATTGCAATTTCGAAGTTAAAAACAGTGATCTATATAAAATGAATACGAGTAGTATTCTCTGACCTATTTTTGGTTTGACATAGTAGACCAAAACTTATACTCATTGTTAAAGTTCCTCCAACCAATTGTTCATGTTAGCTGGACTTTCACTGATTCTATTGTGAATTTAACATTATAAAACTGACTATTTTACTGATTATCCTATCTTAATTACCATATTTTCCCTGTCTGACAAAAGTTGCATCTCTATATAATACTCACATTGTGACGAGTATAGTTTAGTAGTTGTTGTAAGTCATTTGTTGGGATGTTCTGCTGCACAATTAAGTTTCTACCAATTAGAATGCAATAACAACATATCCCATTGACAATTTACATGTCTTTGGTCATTGTTCCATGCTTATGAAAATGTTAGCCATACAACAAATATTAGTTACTTCGCGAGGAACATGTAGGATTATTTCTCGCGCGTGTCTTTGTTTCTAACTTGGTTTCTTAGTTTTATCCAACATCAAATTGACTGTTCTTTATGTACCTCATTCCGACTCATTGAAACAGAGGCTTACTATCACTGCAATTACTTCAGTACTTAGGACATGGAAGGTAGCACTTAACACCTGCTGCAAATTTTGCCAACCAGCAAACACCATCTCCACACCTCTGCTCTCTCTTCCTCTTCTCTTGTCGTCGGCCTTGCACTTTGGTGGAGTTCACGCTTGCGTCCTATTTCCGGTGAAAATACTTTACAGTCGTATTTTTACTGCTTTGATTTTGATTCCCTAACTATACTTCCACTATTTGACTTTGCAATCCTTTTGTAATTCATTTATATACAAGAATTTTTTGGCATTCCTTTCGCTTGTCCATTTTTTCCTCTGTTTCAACTCCTCTTCCTCTTAACTTTGGGATTTCTGTATTAAGATTCTAACTTGGAGATTTAGGGCGCCTTCGATTTTCCCTGCAATTTCCTAACCCATAATGTTATATCATATTTCATCGAGATTATAGAAATATAAGTTGGAATAATAAATTTGCCTATCTAAGACCAATAAACATTGTAATTTCTTATCCTTAATTTGTAAAGGTCTCTGCTTTTAGCTGTAGCTTACTTTCTTTTATACTGATATCCATATAGTTCTTGTGAGACATTGTAAACCTCATACTTATGTTATAGTGCTGTTCTTTCTTTTATTCATTTCCCCCCTATTCTGTAAGTATAAGTATGTACATCTACAATTGTTTCCACTTTTATTTAACGCATAGTAGAAAAGTTTACTAATTTGTTACCTATTCAGTATTCTTAATTTCTTAAACTAACTTTCATAGAAAACTCTGGCCATTTTATGTTGCTTTACTATTATGTGCATTTAGGCTACCCTTACTGTGTGTGATAAGAGCCTGAAAAGGTCCAGAGGCAATAGAGGTATATAGGCAAATTATTGTGTAACTGTCTCGGTTGGGTTGTTCTTTTAGCACTTTTCGACTATGATGTTGAATCTTCAATCTACAGTCTACTGCATCCAGAAAGAAGAGAGTGTGACTCTGTGAGTTACGCTCGAGAACAAGGCCTTTTTACCTTCTCCAATAATCCAGTATTTGACTTTTTCTTGCATCTCTTTACAGTACAAAAATAGAAACAACACGAGTTATCTATGAAAGTTAATGAGACGTCAGCTTATGGGTAAACAAAACAAGTTCCTTTTCTCACAATGTTTTCTGTTTCCTCTTTCAGGACGAAAATTCTGCTTATGCAACTTTAGCTAGAGTGATGGTGTAAGTTTTTTACCTGGTCTCTTGCTTTTTACTTGGCGTTAGAAGCTTTATCTCACTTCTCTCTTTTTTCTTTCCCAAATCACATTTTTTAAAGTCGCTGCATTTTTTGCTTTTTCAGTAGCTTATAGTAGAGCTTATACTATATTTTGATGTTTCTAATTTGGTTTTATTTACTCATGTAAATTTTCAAATTGTTTTTTCGCCTTTGTGTTCTTTCTTCCTTGTTTTCATTATTTTCACACTCTTCTTCACTATCTTTTCTTGCTAAATAAGAAGAAATGCCTGAGACTGAGCAGTCACATATGGGTCTCTCAAAAAAAAAAATTATATAAGAGAACAAGGATAAGACAAACACGCCAATTTTAATTTATACACCAAAAGTTATTTTCTTTTGAACAATTATATTCAAACTCTACGATCTCAAATAACAAACACATAAATTATATTCAAACTCTACGATCTCAAATAACAAACACATAAATTATATTCAAACTCTACGATCTCAAATAACAAACACATAAATTATATTCAAACTCTACGATCTCAAATAACAAACACGTATGTTGTACATGATATGAACACACCTGATTTCTCTATTTCTTTATTGTTGAGCTTGTAAATACTTTTTATTTTTCTCAGAGATTTGTGATTATAGTCTGTATTGGTGATGCTTTGTCTTACTGTAGATGTCGGAGCAGTAAATTATGCTCAAACCTAGGCCTTTCTACAACTACTGCAACGCCGGAACCCAAAAGTTCAAGTCTGAAACGTCAATGATGACGATGTGTTTACAGATGAAACATTTGATTTATCTATCAAATCTTTTCGGTCACTTGGTATCTGAAATAGGACGCCAGAGTTGGACTAGGAAGCAACTGCCTAGCCATGTGACATCTTCGACTTTACCCGTTGGAGTCAATTGTAAGTCTACTATTCAAAACCTTTTGTCATCTTAATCACATTTAGGTATTTGTTAAATTTTTGGGTTATTTTGGATTACTTCCTGTTGAATTTTCTACATGAACTTTTCCGATTTGCCTAGGTTTAGAAATAGATACTCAATTCTAGCTTCCCCTTAGAAGTGATTTTTTTAAAAAAAATTTCTAGGATAGAAATGTAAATATGGAGTACTATAGTTTTCTAATTGAAGGATGTTATTAGGAGTGGGATATAAACAGATTTGTATTTATGAATTTGTCCACTTAATTTCTATTTGAAATGTGGGAATTTTTCTGCATGCAACATGTTTAAATTAATCCATGAAATCATGTGGGTCTATTTCATTGGTTTTTTTGGGCCCATTTTTCTGGATATTGAATACAGATATATGTTTTTTTCTCTCTAATAAATAGTCTGTGTGACACATTATACCCACACGTAGAACACCAGTTGTTGTCTGTTGTCGCTAATGCTTACAAGGTGGACAGAATACAAAATCTTATTTCAATGTGCATTCTACCGTCCGCTTTATCAGTTTCTTTCGTCACCTTCAATTCCATCTCCATTCTACACTGACCTATCTCTTGATTTTTCATGATACTGAACTCCTATTATGCAATTATCTTGCAGTAAATAGATGTTGACAATCAAATCTCACTATACTGAATTCTAATTTTAGTTTCTATTACAGGTGGAGTGTAAATTTCAAAATTCAGACTCAAAATTTAACTACTCATACATCATCTCAATTTAGATGACACTAAAATACAAATCGTCTCAGTTGGCTCTCATTAATTTATCATGTGAACTCTTCACTATTCACTTTCTCCAGAAAAATTCAATTGTAACTTCCTCTCGCCCTCTCGCTTATCTATTTCTTTTTTACTCTCTTTGGTTTATTCTCTGTTAAATCTCTTCATTGGTAAAGTATAACTCTTAGCAAATTTCTTTTACTTTATTTTTCATTTTAACCAAAAATTTTAAGTTGGGTTTCTAAGAATCTAATCGCTCTTACATTTTGCAATTGAAAGGTCTCCAAATGAACATATAAAATTTGGAGCTCAAGGGAAAAACTGTGAGAGGGCTGCAATGAAGCTCCTTGATAGTGCTGCGCGAGACACAAATTGCTAGGTAAGGAATAAATTTTTCATGAACGGTGCAAATAGTTATGATTAATTTTGCATTTCATAGATGGTTGTGATATCTAAATAAGGTCTCAATGTTGTTGATAATTCTCCTCTGTATCTAATATTATGGAATGACGTTAGATGAGTTTATCATTGCTTTTATTTATTTACGAGACATATTTGACAAAATTCCCAGTGAAAGGTGTACTTCAAGTAGAGTTTCTTATTACTTATCCGATAAAAAAGGAAATGTATCATTTAGAGAGATAGGCGTGATGACATTGCAGCTACTGAAAAGCACACATTCTAAATCTAATTAAGAAAAAGAAAGGCCTTCTATTTCTTCAACAAGTTCTGAAGATATATTAATCTCCACTATGGATACACATAATTAATAGTTAGGATTAGTCGAATCTTATGTATACACCTGACGGAAAAAATACCTACATCTTAGAAAACCTCACTGTGTTATGTTGTCATGATCAGAAGAGTTTCTGCTTTGCTGAATAATTATGCATGTCACTGAAAAAACTAGCCTAATATGCTGAGCACGGGCTCGACATACTTGATTCTGATGTTATTTTTTAAATATAATTTTGTAAGATTTCAATGTTCATAAACCCTTACTCTATGTTTAATCACTTAGTGAGCTTAGGTAAACGATAGTGAAAGTTGTGACTGAACTAATTTATTAACAATAAAATTCTATCAGATTAATAAGAATCAACACCGTAAAGATACAAGTAAAAAGAGCACAACTCTACTACATTGCTCTGAATTATTCTCTCAGTCATATCCATTGCTAGAGTAAATGTCTTCTCTTCTTAGCTAATTTTCATTGCTAATTGAGAATACTTTGTTGCCACTCTTCTATATTTTCCTTCTTCAGCTATCTGTGTATATCATCGTTTCCCCTTCTTCATAAACTTTTTTGGATTCTTTCAATTTCTCACTCATTTGTCGTTGATCATTTTGTTAGACAGTCTGTTCAAAATAAACATTTCAACTGGAATCTTGAGGAGTAAAACATTGTTGCTCCAATCGGAAAGTTAGATTTCACCTCTACCATCAACAATATAATCCACAACAACTTTACGGCAGTCCCAGGTATTGTACAGGAAGTTTATAAATATACCAGAATTTTCATGCCAAAATTCCCAGAAAGAGACTACATTTTTTGTTTGAAAATTCACATCAGCATCAACTCTTCAAACATTGATGAATTCTCCCTGAATACAATTATTGCAGACCATAGTAGAGAACAAATTGACATTGTGAAGCCTCTGTTGCTGACTTGATGCCTGAGTTCTTAAAAAAAAAAACAGAGAAGCCTCATCTTATTCACAGAAATGTGAATAATAATGGCAATGGTGCACATGAGATCAGACAACAACTTGCAATTGGAGCTCTTATCAAACTCTGCAAGTCCTTTTGCCAAGTAAATGTTTCCTCCAGAAATTCTTTTTTTTTTTTTAGCCTTTATGAATTCCCACGAAATGCATCTGAACTCGGTAAAATCAACATAGAAAACATTCATATGTTACATTAATATTTGTAAATGCAGGTTTTTGGTGCATAAAAACCCACAACTTCATGTGAATGTCCTATTTGTTTCAATCATTTTCAAGATAATGATAACCTAAGAATTATTTCAAGTTGTACTCATATACTCCACATTAATTCGTTTCTATATCTTCTGTGAGATTGCTTGAAATCTTCGTAAGCTTCAACACAAAAACACAAGAGCTATATACATTTGCCCATTAACATGATTGTGTTATTCTATTTATTAGGATATCAAATTCTGCTTTCTAATTTTTCTCCTTTTCTCTCTCTTCACAGTAGTAAGATCAAAATTTGTTTGAAAAATTAGTGTTCTGTTTCCACTTCTTCATTTCTATAATCTTTTCATATGTTCTCAGTATAACACAACTGTGACGCTGAGCTCCGTTCTATTAATTGTTGAAAGCTTGGATCCCATTACTATATCTCGATGATTTTACTTGATTTTTGCAGGATTAATGACTTTTGACGACCAACAAATGGCATTGGGTTGCAAGTACGTACACATTTTCTCCTCTTCTAAGGTAATTCTCGCCAAATCCATTACATTGGCTCATTGTGGGATGGTTTGGATGAGTTGTCGTCAATTTATGCCTCCTCTTTTGTTCTCCTTTCTCTATGACTACAGTTCGTATGTCCTTCTATTTTTAGGTGAATGGCAATTCTTTTATTATTTTTTTTTTACAATTGCACTTATGATATTAAACTTAAAGGCAAATACAGAAATTTCATTGATCTCCAATGTTTCCGATGTACCAGATACGTTGTTCATTGATAAATAAAAATAGTAATCATTTCAACAGTTGGTCGTATTGTCAATACATAGTTTTAAATGCAGTAAGTTTTTACTTACTTCACTGATAGTTATCTTTTCTAAGATGTTCACTATTTGCACTTAAATTTACGAGCTCTTGGCATTAGATTTTGTCTTTGAGCTTAAAATTTGTTTCTCATATTTTTTCATAGTAAAATGAAGAGGCTAGCTAGATATGATTATTGAGACATCAACTGATTTTCTAAAATGCTCAAAGATTATTCTACTAAAGTTGTGTTTAAAGGTGAAATGGATAGGATTTCGGCAATAAAGGTTAGATCCTGTTTTTCTTATGCCTTTCTCTTTCCTTCATCAGTAAGTTTATCTTCTAAATTGATCGTTTCCCTTTTCTGTGAACCCTCTTCGTTCATGATTACTGTTTCTTTCTACTTTCATTTCAATTTAAGACAATATTAGTTGTTCATACACTCATGACCTTTTGTTATCAAGATTGAATCTTGAATTTGACTTCCTTGATAAATCATAGGAAACTTATTTCAGTTTCTCTATAATAAAAAAAAATTCCAGTTACTTAAATTGTGATATAAAATGATCATGATATCTCATTAGCTGCTATTTGAAAATTTAACATTTATTTCAGAATAACAATAGATAGACTTCAAAAACAAACTTCAACCAAAGGCTGGTCAAATTGTGCAGTCAAGTGTAATAATTTTTTCTCCAAAGGCTGCTCAAATTGTGCAGTTAAATGTAATAATTTATTCTCTTTTCTGGCACAATTTCATTTACTATCAAAACCCATCAAATTTCCACAAGACACATCACTATATAATTAGACCAAGGCCTCTTCAAATTTGACTTTTCACTGTGAAATGTAATCATTTTGTCTCTTTTTTGGTACAATTTCATTGCCTACCAAAACCCCATCAATTTTTAAGAAAGACAGCTGTACTTTTATATATATATTACTCATAGAGCACAAACTTATTAGGCTTCCATTGAAGAAGACTTGTGCTCCCTTTCTCAGGTATTTTTTTCCCCTTTTCATGTTTTTCCTCTTCCCATTTTCAATTTTTGTTGCAGATTTTGCTTCTCATATTCTATTTTCATTACATTTTCTAACTTTTAGTATCTAGAGAGAAATTATGTTGTTGCATGTTCCTAATTTAATTTCCCTTATTCATGCAACCACAAATTTATTTATTTTTTGAATGAATAGTCATGCTATCATGCAGATACTACTGTTTGGTTAAATATATTTCGTACAAACATGGTACTAAGATTGAACATTGACCGAATAGAATTAGCAACACGAGATTGGATTTGCAAAGTTCAAATTGTGGAAATCGGGCGCCCGCGAGAAAGTCTTAACAAGAAATGTAGATTCCAAACTTTCATTTTGGAAGATGAAGAGGTGAGCTGATTATATTTTATCTTATCAATATTCTTCTTTTTCTTTTTACCTCATATGAACCTTTTCCCTTGGTTTACTGTTGGTAAGTAGTTACAATTAATCTGAGCTTACTTAATCTCGCCTTTCTATAACTCAATACTTTCACGAATGCCAGATTAAGGCAGTTATGTATGCCGATGAAATTGAGCAGTATGCAAATAAGCTTAAACTCATGAATACCGATTTCATTTCTACCGCAAAAGTCAAAGTCTCACTAACTTCATACGGCAAGCCAATACATAAATTTTACTGGGTTCTTGACAAAGAAACAATAATTGAACATATCAAACCATCTACCGAACTTGAGACACCACTTCCACCACCAACCAAACTGAATATCACAACCTTTGACCGCATTCCTCATATGATGGTTGATTCTGCAGCTGAAATTGGTATATCCATCCTAATAGCTATTATCAGCCTAAAATATACATATTTACTCATACACACACTTACAACATTTCATTATATATTATATAAGCAGATATACTGGCAATCGTTGTTCATTGTGGTCCTCAAAAATAGGCAGGTCGCACTCATCATAAGTGTCGAGAAATAACCATTTGTGACAATCAGTAAGTATAACATTTCAACTTATATTTTTCCCATTCTCTGAAAAGCTTTTGAACAAGTAAACACTTTTTTGGTTTGTTTGATCGGATCATCAGTTATCATCTGGGAATTATCATTCTACTTAGTCTTCTCTCCTCACATTCTCAGGAAAAATCAGTTTCTCCTCACTCTATGGGACGATTCCGAAGAAATCAAAGGAAATGAAATTGAAGATAAAATGGAAACAGCAACAGATTTAATTGTAATCCTCGGAAGGAGTATAGGAATCTCTACTTATCAGGGTACAGCTGCACTGCACTTTTTACCAACATAATTTTAGATAATAACAAAACATTATACAAGCTATGCATTATACAGGGTTGTCACTGCAAAGTAGGTTCAATTCCACAATACGTTTGGATCCTAATTACCCACAGGCAATAGAACTCATCAACTGGTACTCACATTTCATCATTCTTCTCTAGCTTTAATTTGCATGTAAAAAACCTACTAAACATGTTATCTGCTGTAACAATAGGGCAAAAGCAAACAAAACAATGTTGTTACGTCGTACGTCAAACAAAACCTCAACAAGCTCATCTGCCCCTCCCATGGTAGTAACTCCTGCCGGACAACAAGTTATCTCTATTGCACAAATGTCATCAGCAGCTTCTGTAAGTCATACTTCAACCTGATCATTTAAGAGTATGCTTATTTATTTTCTAACTGTCTAGCTTTGGCTAAATAATAAAAACAAATTATATTTACTCATGACTAATTCAACACGTATTATGTATATGATATTTTTCGACAGATGGGACTCTTTTATGTTGAGGCAGAAATGGCCATATCAAATGAATTCCAAGAGTTTTGTGTGCTTGAATGCTCAGGATGCAAACAGAAGAAGCGCACAAAGGATAGAAAGGATTTTCAATGTCCAAAATGCAATCGGAAATCAGCATTAGTGCCTCGGTACTATACTTTTGACTTGTAAATTATACTTTCTACAAAATATAGCGTATATTATACCCAAATTTTAAACTTTCCATGATTTCAGCTGTGTCTTTCAAATTGATCTTACTCATGGTACTGCTACAACCACATCATCTATATCTGGTGAATTGGGAGAAAAATTACTCTCTATGACAGCGGAAGACATATTTGACATAACTTTGCGCTAAGGTGATCACTCATTCCCCTTGGCTACTTGTACACATCTTCTTTTATACACGTATCTGCATAGTTCCTGTAAAACGTTGTAAGTGTCATACTTATGTTATACTGCTCCTTTTGCACTTGCTCTTATCTGCTTTCAAATTTCACAATTTTGTTTTCTTTATGTCTGACATAACATTGCACAGTCTCACATTAATTCTGGGCTAAAAACTCTCTATCCATGTTCATATCCATGCTCAAATCAATTGGTTAACAATTTCTTTTTAATTCCTCCTCTTATGTTGACTGTTGAATTAGCTTATTTTAGTTACAACAATTCACCAATTTCATTACTTCACAGTTAGCAGCAGCTCTTTTGCACACTGACACTAATAAAAAACAGAATTACAGTTTTGACATTTTATTATGAACAATGTTGCTCACATTCATATAAATCACAGTCAAAGATCCTTATGTCTGCTGTGTCTTTCTGATAGCATAAAATTGTACCCTCATTTTGCTCTTTCGTTAATATTTGTCATTTCACACTGCAATATAAGCCTATTTTACATGTTTTTCTTGGATAACTTGCACTGCATACATTCTTCTACATTTCTCTTATTCTACTTTCTTATGATGTCATACACTATAACACATAGTTATCAATAGGAAGAATAGGAACGAGGTTTCTGTCTACTAGCTAACCTCATTCACCATAGACTATTAGGCCAATCACACACATATTCAACAGCAAATCTATCACTTTTATGTTGATTCCATGAATTTCTTTCTATTTGATCCCTATATTAAAATTGCTTTGCTATTTGTTGCCATCTTTGCACTTTCTAACATACTTTAAACTGTGTAATTACAGGAACTCCCTCGCACCATTTTGTCACTTTTGCTTATGCTAGGGACAATATAATGACTAACTCTCCCTGTGCTCTGGTTTTTTGCATCAGGAAGGTTACCTATGGACAAGCAAACTGCAGTGTCCTCTAAATATGCTAGACAATGACATGCTAATCTTATATACCAAAACTGCAACATGTACTATATTATTTTGGTTATATTACATTAGTTAGTATATGCAAATCGTTCAAGTCGACATCGTACTTATGTCTATTGTACATATTCTGAATATTTCTAATAGTACATAATATAATAGATCATATTATCTATCTTCTACAAACGCCCTAACCCTTGATTCATTAATATTACAATATTTTTACAAGCATAATATTTTTACTATTGGGCCCGTGCTTGGCACGGGCCTCCCTACCCTAGTATATATATATTTCTCATTTGCTCGACTTTTGTCTTCGTCTTGAGACTTAGATTTCGACATATCCGTGTTTATCGTCGAGATGTTTTTGACAATATATATATATATATTACTTCTTTATGTTTTTGATTAACATAGAAAGACAAATGATTCATGAACTTCCGTTATGTCATGAATTTTTCAAGTTGAAAACTTATGTTGTTGAATTTATATTTGCATATGTATTTTATTAGGAATTTTTTTTTAAAAATCTCTAAGTAAAAATAAATATTTATAACTTTGACCGAATTTGTCGTCGATTTTTAGAATCTAATCAAATTTTAAGATTGTATATTAATGGAAAACTTGAAATCTGATTAAAAACTATGTCAAACGCTAATTAAAGGTCTTGATTAATCACTTGTATTGCTATCTTACAATGAAATTTAAGTGGTATAAATTTGAATTAATTAGTGTATTTCGAAAACTAAATGATAATGTCAAAACATAATTAGATTACAAAAAAAAAAAAAAAGGTCTCAAACTTATTCCTAAATAATAATGAATTTTGAGATAATACATGGGACCATTAAGTACAAGATATCGTATGATGTACGCTTTAAAAATACAATAATAATAAATTATTATTAGGTACGAATATATGAGAGATGTTGTGAGAATATTTTATTTACTTTATAGACATTGCAAGTTCTCATAAAGTAAATAGGAATAAGAAAAAGAGTTGGAAATTACGAAGGCTTTAAGAATTCACGTGGAAATGATAATATAAGGACAAAGCAACATTTGTTTGATTATAAAAACTCTTTAATAGTCGATGTCGATGGCCTTAATATATTCCAAGCAAGCCATCATTAAAGTAGTACTTATTTGATTATAACTACTAAAAAAGGAATCATAACTGTTACAAGGAAAGGAACGTTAATTTGTTGAATGATAAGTTTCGTTCATGATTACTTGTTTATATTAGATTCGATATACATTTTAAAAAGCAATAAGAATTATTTATATATTAATTTTTTTTTAATTGAATGAATAAAATTGGATGGAAAAAGAAATATTAAAGATGAATTGAAGGAAATTTCTTTCGTTACTTTTCATAAATTTACTTGAAAATAATCTCAATGGAGCCAAGAAAAGCACTCTAACTTGTAACGTAATACATAATGACGTGTGTAACTCAGTAATTAATGAAGTGAATTAAGAATTTTAGATTGTAATTAATCAAGTGATTTTTTTTTACAATATCAACGAACACAAATAAAACAGTTTTGTTTGTATTTAGGAGTAAGGCTGTTGTCCTATTTTCTTAGCGCAATTCACGCCAAATCACAATCTTCTTTTAAATGGATATTAACAACTCAAAGTGTGTGGTTTAAAATTGTTACTCCAAGTCCCAATATATATAAAAATAAATAAAAAGTAACTGTTTTATTTTGTGATTTCTAAACGGAATTGATTTCAGTTTTTAAAAATTATCCTTATATTTTAATAGACAGAGTTTTATATCATTGAAGAAATGAAAATAGTTTATTAAGAGTACGCCTAAGTTAAAAAGACTACTTATTTTTCAATGAATAGAGTACAATACTTTACCAATTACTCTTCTCTATTCTAATTTATGTAATGCAATTTAACTTGAAATAAAGTTTAAACAAAAGGAGACTTCTGAAATTTTGATTTAAATTAAATCTTAAATATTTTTATTACTTTTATTAGCCGTAAAATAAATATATTTATAAAATGAATAAATATTTAAAAATAATATAGTGAATAACTATAATTAGTCGGAGAAAATATAAAAAGTTAAAAATCTGATAGTAGTAAAAAAAACAAGTTTGAACATTGAGTGGAAAATAGGTGTGATTGTGAGTACCAAAACCGATCTTCACGGCTCTGACATGAAGTAACGTAGGCCATCATTATCTCTCTCCTTCCCCACCGGCGAATTTCAAGGCCACAGACACAGACACAGGCGTGTTTGATACAGTGTACGAATTTCCCTCAACTCAACCACCCTCCTTTCTCTTTGGCCTCACGACAACTCCCTATACATTTTCTCTTCACACGTGGTGGGTCTTTAACATTTATTCCCATAAACACAACTCCTCTTCTTCTTTTTTTATTAAATTTGAATTTGCGCGTTGAAATCATAACAATAACACTATCTAATTTAGTATAATAATATAAATTTTAATAAATAAATCGAAATAGATCTTAATTTAGTGAATAACATGAGATATTTTAAAATTATTCAATCAAACGATTCCAATTAGATAATGGTGAGATCCATCATTTTCAGTAGTAACCTCTTATCTAATTATTTCGTTTGGTGTATTTGTGGATGTGACGTGTCAGAATCTTGGCCGGCACTTTGGGACACCATTCTGTATACAACATGCACTATAATATATTTATAGGACTGACAAAAGGCAAAAACTATCTAAAAACACCCGTGGAATAAATTAAATATAAACAAAAGTTTTCCCAAACTTTCTAGTATTTTATTATTTTTAACAATAATGAAATATTTTTTAATTTCATTCGAAATTCAGTTTACATTGATTGGTGTGTAAAAATTAACAGAGAATTGAAATAAAACTCTGATAATCTTATGATTCTGAAAGACAGTAAACTCAATTTTAACTAATCCATGAATTTATCTTTCAAGTTACATTATCATGAAGTTATTGTCTTCTTTATTCAAGCATACCTCTGATATTACTGTAAGCTTGTCAATTTAATTATTTGTTAGGTTTTTATTTTTGTCCCACCCTTATCGGCCCACCTTTCGTCATAAAATTGGCAGGTAGTCCCAAGTAGATGATTTTGGATTTGAATAATATAAAGTATGGACAATCAAGAAAAAAATAGTGATCAAAATTTTCAAAGAAGTGAAATTGTTGGAAGATGGGTTGTGGTAGCAGCATTAAAAGGAATAGGACGTTAGGGAGAGCCATCATTGTTGAGTAATCCTTTCGTCCCTTACCCAAACTCTTTAATTTACATCAACAATCCACAAACAAACAAACAAACAATAAATAAATGGAGTTGTCATAATAGGGACAAATAATGTGAAATGTGCCACATTTTCCACTGACATTTTTGTCTTTACAACACCTATAAAATTGTGCCTCATAATGGAAGATTCCAAGAAATGAACCACCCCAAAAAGAAAATCAATACACAAGCTTGTCCTGATGGCTCATTGAATCTGACCATCACCAGACTGACCACTACTCCTGCCTGCTGTCCCAAATCAATGCATTACACTACTCAACCATCTCTCTACTTTATTATTGTTATAAACTTTGACTAAAAAATTGCTTGTCCATCAACTTACGTAGAAATCAGAGTTATACAAATATTAATTATATAGAATTATAAACGGATAATCACTTGATATTTGGTATGCTAAAATTTATATATAGCAATCAAACAAGATATTTCTTTATAAATAATTAACTTCCTAAGCAACATCGAAATGAGCACCTTATTGGTTACCTTGTGCCAACCCTAGAAAGGTTAATAATAATACATTGAGCTTTAGGAGTAGCGAACGAAAATTACCAATAATGATTTTAAATACTCTATATACACATACCTATCACCGAACCAACTACTTGAATTTACAAGCAATCAATTTTAATACACACAAAAGAAATAATCATTTCCTTAAAGGTGACAATAACTTAAAAGGATAGCTAAGGTGTAGGAGAAACCTAATTTAATTATATAGCAAAAAGTTAGGACATAAAAAAGAAAAGTAAAGTTAAACTATTAGTCAGAAGCAGTTGTTTTCACAATCACTATATATGCCTGCAAAGTTAGGGGGATTTGCTTGTATTTGGGTCCACTTTGTTTTTTTTTTCTTGAATAGCTTTTGCTAGTGCTAGTACACCAAAAAACTAAAATTAAGTAAAAAATACAATCTTGTTTTATTATTTTTTTTTTCCAATAGTTGATATCTCACCTAAGCAAATAAATAGTAGCAGTAATACTAATAGTCTCTCTTTGAAAATAATATTTGTCCACTATTTACTTTACACGTTTTTTTATAATTATAAATAAAAGAGTAATTTTATTATATCATCCTTTAAATATAAAAAATATAATAAAAAATGATTATAATGAAAAATAAGGTAAATAAGAAACTAGTATAAAATTATCAATTAATTTCATAAAATGAACAAGTATTACTCCATCTGTCCCAATTTATGTGACTTACTTTCTTTTTTAGTCTGTACCAAAAAGAGTGACTATATTAACTAACAATTTAACTGTAAAATATTTATTTTACCCTTAATGAAATGATTTATAGCCACACAAATTTCTAACATTCATTTTGGATCACAAGAGTTAAAAGTATTCTTTTCTTTCTTAAACGTTGTACCGAGTCAAACTACCTCACATAGAGAATGAAACGAATGGAGTATTAGATACTTCAAAATAGATAATGCCAAATGATCAAAAAAATTGGCTAGAATTTTAAAATGTTATTGAAAGATATTTTTCCTATTTTTTAATTGAAAGATATTAAAGTTAAAAGAATAAAAATATTCTGATCAAATTTTTTATTTCCTTTTAAATAATATAATAGACAATAAATAGACTGACATTTATGCAGCAAAATTCCAAAGGAACACCACACCTCTCAAAAGAAAGTGTCTCTCTTTATATTTATCACAATTAAATGTTGAAATAGTCAGTACAGTACCTAATTCAATACATATACGGACCACAATGTGTGAGAAATCACTAAAGTAGGATTCTTTGGCAAAAGTTGGCACGTAACTTTTGCTTTTTCTGCTCATTTCATTAAAACTAGTAACCCCATAATCTCTCCCTATCAAAGTCAAGAACTAAAAGTTACTTTATGTTTAATCCCACCATACACACCTTT